GTGTTTGTGGTTGTGTGTTTGTAGTTGTGTGTTTGTGGTTGTGTGTTTGTGGTTGTGTGTTGTGGTTGTGTGTTGGTAATTGTGCTTGTGGTTGTGTGTTTGTGGTTGCGTTTGTGGTTGTGTGTTTGTGGTTGTGTTTGTGGTTGTGTGTTTGTGGTTGCGTGTTTGTGGTTGCGTATTTGTGGTGTTGTGTTTGTGGTGTTGTGATTGTTGTTGTGTTTGTAATTGTGTTTGTGGTTGTGCGCTGTGGTTGACGTCCGGCAGGGAACACTGGGCGTGGATGGTCGTGGTTGAGGTCCGGCAGGGAACACTGGGCGTGGATGGTCGTGGTTGAGGTCCGGCGAGGAGGAGAAGAAGAAGGAGGAGGAGGAGGAGGAGAAGGAGAAGTCAGCTAACATAAAATCTAACAACCCTCACCTGGCAGGTGGGGAAAAATAGCAAATTCCTTGGCAGGCTCAACAAAAATCAAACATTTATGCACCCCCCAGAGCCCCCATAGATCCCAAAACTTTTGATTTTTTTGACTTGTTTGAGCCTGCCAGGGTTTTGTGATTATGGGTTAGATGGGGCTGAGTCCCAGTAACAGTTCAACAAGGGATTTTTATTGAGTGTGTTCATGAAAACGAGCACCAGCGAATTGCTGGAAATGGCTCTTGGTTTTGGGACATTTGGTCAATGAATTGCTGGGGTTGACCCAGATTGAAAAGTTTAGATCTCACCATGATCAGAATCATACCTCACTTCACCCATCCCCTGCCCCATACCCAGTGCCCTTCTGTAAGGTGTGTATGTGTGTGTAAATGATATAAGATGGTGAATGCTTGTCTTGCTTGTCCACCACTGTCAAAGGTCATGGTGGGGTGATTTGACGAATTCGAGCACCAGATTTGACGAATTCGAGCACCAGATTTGCCGAATTCGAGCACCAGATTAGACGAATTCTAGCACCAGATTTGGCGAAATCGAGCACCAGATTTGACGAATTCTAGCACCAGATTTGACGA